TCCACCATTTGCATTCTTCCTCCAGAGAGAAGTCTTTGTTGTCAAGCAGTTGGCACAGAAGACCCCTGAACCCCGTCGTCTCTGAAACAAGAGGGAGACAAGAAAAAGGTCAGAGATATGCCATGTGTTCAGCATTCACTATATGCGAAAAGTAAATATAAGCTTGCCCCAATTACTGACTCTGGCAAAACCAGCAGTTTCCCCACATACTAAACATACGACAGTAAGTTTCAGAGGTGATAAAAAGAAACAAGATGGGTTCCATTTACAGCCTTGATATATATCAGTGAGTTTCATGGACATGACGTCCACTTTTCAAACTAAATTTAATATTCAACAGCTGGGGATGCCCCGCTCATGTTTTTTTTTTTTTTTTTTTTGGCATGGATACCATTTGCCAGTCGTCTGTGAGCAATATTGGTCAATATCCAGCAGGTAACTTTTTTGTTCTGTTACAATTGCAGCTGGTATGGTAGTATTAGGCTGTGGGTTGGTTTGATTGCTTTGTAGTCCATTTGAATATCCACTAGGTGGGAGCATAACCTAAGCTATCAACTTATTTTGACTTCTTTTTCATTGAAAAGTACATATTATTGGCCACACCACAAGACCAGCATATTTCCCATTCATATTTATTCAAAGTAAATTCCTGGTATTATTACCATTGAAATAATAGTGCCACAGAAAATGTGCATATTAAATATTGTATCAATGTTATATTTACAGGTATAAAGAATTTAGGAATTATTCCGGCACAAAGAAAAATTAATTAGGCCCTGTAATGACAACAATTAATGTTTTCCAAAGCATTGAAGGCCGTTCATTTTCGACCAATGAAAATCTAGAATGTGTTTTCCACGCAAAAGCTCATTTTACATTGAAAAATGGATCTGAGTGGAATTATTTCAACAACTATAATACATTTCCTGTACAATACCCGCAGTAAATATAGGAGTACCAAATTTTTGTTTTACTACAAAACGTTTCTACAACATTCACGTTGTCCTTTAACGTAAAAGGTGAGTCATATTATGCCCTATACTGATAGTAATGTCATTGTTATTATGTCATTATCAAATCCAATAGGCTACTGATTCAATAAATTTCATTTAGGCAGGTCTAGATGAGCAGAAACAATGAGCCGCACAGAGTTAATCGGCTTTTCCATTATTTATTCGTGGTGCCATATGGTAAGCTGCAAGCCTTCTTGCAAGGCTCGGGTAATAAATGTCATTTATTTAGATGTTGTTTAATGACATTTTCAGCACATTATTTTGCAACTACATCACATCATCCTTTTGTACTCCTTCTGAACACATGTACAGCTCAGGTCACACACTATTCACTCATATTTTATGGCAATTAAGCATACGGTCTTGAAGCAGGAACACTGTTCCCCAAAAAAAAAAAAAAAAAAAAATCTGAGTGGCAGAAAAAAATGCCAGAGGAATTTTTTTTCTGGGGACATGAATGCGGCAAATTGTGTTTCAAACATAAAATTAGTGGGAACAGTCAAGTACCGCAACTTTTCGCATCTTAAAAAGCAAAACTTACTGCAAAGCTCAAACTATCGAATCCTGGGCCACATGACCAGCCCTGCATATGCACGATCTACAGGTAGGAGTTAACAATTGCGAGTCCTACACCTAGCACACAGAACAATGGGCCCTCTTTTCCCTGTCCTCATCATTAGTCATCCATTATAAACCGTCAGCTACTTCTCAACTTAAACTACTATCATAGTAACAAATGCATGAATTCATGCACAGGGTTGAGGCCGCGGTATCAGAAGATTGAGGACGATTTTTTTTCTTTTTGCGCAAGTTGAGATGGGTCCTCATCACAGACTGTATAAAAAGATGGAGGAAGCAACCATGACGTCACCCATTGGTTTCAGCATACCATTTAAGAAGCCTTGATTTTGGCAATTTGAACAGCGCTATTTCGTCATTTTGAAACCGGGTGCGATTCCTATTGAACGAAAGCGTGAATTGAAGATCCAGGGAAGAGCAAGGGGTGGATCTATGGGTGGATCTGACCGTATCTGATGAGGATCAGAAGATAGCCAAGCCCCCAAAGCATACGGCTTTACCCTTAATTCTAGTCTATTTGGGACCATAATTTACAAAAATTAACATCATGATATATTGGAGGAGACTTGAAACTTCCAATAGATACCATAAAATAATGTGGAAAATCATTATTGAAATAATAAATCAGGTGGGAAAGTAGGGTCATTTTTTCATAGACTTCTATTGCATTGAACTTCCTTCTGCAACCACCGACGTCGCCATCTGCTAGCCATTAAACAGAATGCAATTTTAAGAGATTTCCGCATTAGCTTCACTTTTCAGACCCAGGTGCTGTGTTCATCTTTTTCATACAGTCTATGGTCCTCATATGCGCATGCAACTTTGAGCCTCGGTCGGTTGATCGTGCGAAGAAGAAACACGAAGCAGATGTGAAGTCATATGAAAGCTTACAAAGTCTGAACCCTCCCATTATTGCATTTATTATCAGTAAATCTGTTATTCTGGTACAATTAAAAATAGATCTTTATCTTGCCAAGATCAAAGTTTCACTTGAGAACTTCCTGATTTTACAACATTTACAATACGTCATTCTCACCATATACCGTGCCGTGATAAAAAAATTTGCCCCCTTCCTGATTTCTTCCTTTTTTGCATATTTTTCACACTTAAATGTTTCAGATCATCAAACAAATTTTAATAAAAGAAAAAGATAACCCGAGTAAATGTAAAATGCAGTTTTTAAATGATGATTTCATTTATTAAGGGGAAAAAGCTACCCAAACCTACCTGGCCTTTTGTGAAGAAGTAATTGCCCCCCCTTGTTAAATCATGAATTAACTGTGATTAACCACATTTTTTGAGTTCAGTTTCACTAGCCACACCCAGGCCTGATTACTGCCAGACCTGTTGAATCAAGAAATCATTTCAATAGAACCTGTCTGACAAAGTGAAGTAAGCTAAAAGATCTCAAAAAGCAACATGTCATGCCGCGAACTAAAGAAATTCAAGAACAGATGAGAAACAAAGAAATTGACATCTATCAGTCTGGAAAGGGTTGCAAAGCCATTTCTAAGGCTTTGGGACTCCGGCGAATCACGGTGAGAGCCATTATCCACAAATGGAGAAAACTTGGAACAGTGGTGAACCTTCCCAGGAGTGGCCGGCCTACCAAAATTACTCCAAGAGTGCATCAACTACTCATCCAGGAGGTCACAAAAAAAACCCATAACAACATCTGAAGAACTGCAGGCCTCACTTGCCTCAGTTAAAGTCAGTGTTCATGATTCAACAATAAGATAGAGACTGGGAAAAAAATGGCATCCATGGGAGAGTTCCAAGGTGAAAACCACTGCTGACCAAAAAGAACACGAAGGCTGGTCTCACATTTGCCAAAATACATCTTGATGTTCCCCAAGACTTTTGGGAAAATATTCTGTGGAATGACGAGACATAAGTTGAACTTTTTGGAAGGTGTGCGTCCCATTACATCAGGCGTAAAACTAACACACGATTTCAAAAAAAGAACATCATACCAAAAGTCAAACATGGCGGTGGTAGTGTGATGGTTTGGGGCTGCTTTGCTGCTTCAGGACCTGGACAACTTGTCATAATTGATGGAACTATGAATTCTGCTCTCTACCGGAAAATCCTGAAGGAGAATGTCCAACCCTCAGATTGTGATCTCGAGCTCAAGCGCACTTGGGTTATGCAGCAGGACAATGATGTGAAATACACCAGCAAGTCCACCTCTGAATGGCTTAAAAAAAAAACAAAATGAAGATTTTGGAGTAGCCTTGTTAAAGTCCGGGCTTAAATCCTATTGAGATGCAGTGGCATGACGTTAAACAGGCCATTCATGTTCAAAACTCCTCCAATGTGGCTAAATTAAAATAATTCTGCAAAGAAGAGTGGGCTAAAATTCTTCCACAGTGATGTGAAAGACTCATTGCCAGTTATTAAAAACGTTTGATGGCAGTTGTTGTCGCCGAGGGTGGCACAACCAGTTATTAGGATTTAGGGGGCAATTACTTTTTCACATAGGGCCAGGTAGGTTTGGATAGCTTTTCTCCCTTAATAAATGAACTCATCATTTAAAAACTGCATTTTGTATTTACTCAGGTTGTCTTTGTTTAATATTAAAATTTGTTTGATGATCTGAAACATTTAAGTGTGACAAATATGCAAAAAAAGAAGAAATCGGGAAGGGGGCAAATACTTTTTCACGGCACTGTATGTCTATGATTCTCACCGCACTAGACTACCCTTCTGCACGTAGCTGGGCCTCAGTATGTTCTGTTCATCTCCATTTCATGACTTTTCGTTTGACAATCCATTATCAGCCACAAAACCATAGAAAATGACCATGTACGATCCGTTCACAGCAAAATTACCGGGAAATATTAACTTCCTATTATGGTTATGACAGTGGTAGTATCATTGCCGGGGGAAAATCTTTAAATCATTTTTTCTATTTCTGGCCATGTTGGAAGACTGCTCTGACACTCATGAAATAACGACTATAGGCTCTTCACATACACACTGAGAAATTTTCTCATGCAAATGGGGTCCAGCCTCACACCTTCCTTGATGTCCTGGAATCGTGGTTGCAAGTGTCAGTAAGACTTTGCCGGTAGCCATTTGATTCTATGGTTTCTGACGTTTCCAACCAGCTCTAAACCACCTTTATCGCACAAACAAAGCCTGAGCTAGAGCCTTGCGTTCCCAGTGCGTCAAATTGAGTCCATGGGCCGTTCGAATGTACTTAAGTAGCGCGACAATATGAATGCTTAATAGGTTTGTTTGTGGTATTTTCGGTATAATATCCTCTAAATATTCAACCGTCGTTTTCAAAGTCGTTTTCTGACAGAAAACCGTGAATACTGAGGGCACAACAGTACAAACAAGGTGGGTGACTTGTTTTCTTGACTCATTCTTTATATAAGCAATTTGACACCAGCACAATAGTCAACTGATATAGCCTAGTGGTTAGGGTGTAGAGCTGCAACACAGGCGACCAGAGTTCAAGTCCCTGGTTAGTTGTGCTTTATTTTCTTGCTGGGGTTTTTATTCTTTTTACTTTTTTCCCCCCATTTTTTAACCTTTTTTGTATTCATAATCTTATTAATTTGCTTTTTTAAAATAAATCTGCTCCAGTGGAGCCAAACTTCATTTTCTTTGTATTTATCGTCTTTGAATGGGAAATTGTATAGGCTATAGGACTGGCAGAAATAATAATTAAAAAAAATATAAATTCTAAAAATTAAAAACTGGTTGTGTTTGGGTGGAATGTATGCATGTAGTGACATATAAGTGAAATTAGATGAGTTTTACAGTTTAATATCTAAGAAATCTGATTTGGCACACAAGGTACCTGAATTGCCAATTTGGAGAAGCCACCTAGACATTCCTCTCTAATTTTGTTCTGATTTACTTCACTAGAATAAACTTTGGCACAGATTATGGTGAGATTCTGTACTGTAAATCTTTAAAGGTTTCAGACTGCAACTAATTAAGTTTACAAGGCATAGAAGTAAAACTTTGTTTGGTGCAAAATGTGGTCTTTGATTTATACTGTGTTCCATCTTCATTTACTCTGACTCAGTGACATATATACTGATTTTACACTATGGTAGAAATCCCATATGGTTTTACCTTTATTATGATATCAAGATTATTCAAATGGACCAAATATATAGTTGCAGAGATATACTCATTTCATTTTGGGCTTGCCATTTTCGAAAAAGAGGCTCAGGGCTTAAGAGGTTAAATAAGCAAACATCACTACTGTTAGATTTTTTTATTTAAAAAATTGTTGTTTTTTTTTTTAAAATTAAAACACACTCTCCACAAGGATGGGCGGTGCCCCTAGTACCCTTCTATTGGCCAGCCGCCACTGGGTTCAAATTTATTGGAATTCAGCTCCCCTCAAACTGTATTTGGTCTTCACTTTTTGATTACCTGATCATATTCCAACAATTAGCTTGTTCAAATGTAATTTTTAGCAAACTACCAAGTTGTTAAAATCAAAATTCTCCCAAGATCAAGCTACCTTCAGTGAGATGCAAGCCAAGTTTCCTTGGCATTTCTATAAAAAGGGCAAGATTTGATTCTAAAGGAAATGTTCACAACTATCCTTTTCAAGACATTTTATGATTATGTATTTATCAAGATGACTTAAAGTAAAAGACAACTTTCACACAAAACCAAGGGTAAATAAATGAATTATCCACATGGATTACAGATATTATGACTTGGACTTTTTTGCAATTTGTTTGTAAAGATGTAGAATGGTTCAAAAAACAAGAATGCGACTGAACAATAAAAAACTGGGGGTCTTCATCTTTCCATCCCTCAAAAAAGGTTGAGCCAAGAAGAAGCCGAGGACCGCTTTGGCACTCACGTGACAGTGACATCAACTGACCATAGCTTAACCAAAGACTAGACAGGCTGAACTCTTTCCATACCAAATTCTCACTCGTTTTGAGCCGTTTCTTCAGCCTAAATAAGTAAATGCCAAGGCCCTCATCTAGGTTACCCTTTTACAGTAACACCTAAGAGGCAGTTCTTTCGATAACAGTTTAATTCAGACAGTTATCTTTCACTTTAATAAACGGTCAATAATGAGGAAGACATGTCAGGATATAACAAGTAGACATGGTCAACAACATCCCCTGCCAAAATGTCTTCTTTAAAGATACTATGACCAAACCAGCAAAAGGCACCAGTTCACCACTAGACTGATATGCATGTGAAGTTTCATGGAGAAATCTTTAACGGTTTTCGAGTTGTGGTCCGGAAACGAAGCGTGACGGACGGACGGACTGACGGACGGACAGCACCCATTCCTAGATCCCCCTTCCACTTCGTGGCGGGGGATAATAATGAGAAACTGCTCATACCGCAATCGACTGAAAGACTGACTGTTGACTGAATTAAATTGGCCCTGCACAATGCTCAGATAGCAATTACCTGCATTGAAACTGCGGTCAGTCTTGAACATGAGTGTTTGATTATTGCTAATTTATTGTGAATTGCAGCCTCTTCGAGAGTCTCTTATCGCGAGAGTCTCTTATCATCATCATCTTGATGCTATGACTCTGGGTGGGACAAAAATAATTGAGTGAAATCTTTAACTGCCCAAAATATGCCGAGAGGCCAAAACTGCCTTGCTTCAAACCAATTTTCCAATAATCTTTCATATTTGCTCTTTACTCACTAAGAATACAAACCAGCACATTGCATTGGTATCCCTGGGCACGTACCAAATTGTCCAATAATTAATCTGCCAGTGGTGACGGTGATGGCGAAGTGGCACCAGAACGGAAGTATCAGCAACCATCTTGAGAAAAGAATATAATTCAATTACGTTACATATACCACTTCCCTCCATGATGAAAACCAAGAAATCATGAAGATAACACCTAACAAATTTTAAGGGTTATCTTTATGGGCGTGATTGCAGCTGTCGTAGAACCGAGAGATTACAGCCAATAGTCTTTTATCAAGTTTATTGTACTGGTAAAATTGTGAACAAGTGGTGAACCATACCAATGAAAACCAACTGCTGAAGTCTGTGGCTCTGTCTGGTACCAGCATGGCAAGAGGCCCTAAAGATGGAGGCCCAGAGATTTACGCCGAAACAAGGTGGGCTGTTCTTAACGGTAAAGACTGAATCGGACTAATGGCAGAGAAAACCAATGAATGATCAACATAGGGGGGTTGGAGGGACATTCAAAAGATAAGAGTGGAAGTGGATTGGTAGAATAGCCAGGTACAGACAGAATGATGGGTAAGAGGGAGGAGAAGAGTGCCTCCTTCCACCACACAGCAGATCAATAAAGTTCTGTCAAACTTTTGCTCAATTCTGCCACTTTACAGATTATGTGCCATAAAACAATTGGTGTTCTTGAATTTACTCAATTCATTTAACTGTAATGTCAGTGCAGGACCATGTTCACCTAGCTAGAAAAATACAATGAGTATAACTGCACTTTGATATATTTGGAATGGAAAACTTTCTTGACATGATTTTGGCATGGAGGGCAGAAACTTTCTTGGCAGGGATCCGGCACTTGATTTGTCTGGCATTACGTAATGCATCAGTTCTGTAAAAAAGTTCAAGCGAGCAGCCAGTTCCCAATAGGGTAAATTTTGCATCTAAATGCACGTACTGTCACGGCTCCTCATTTGTAAAACTAGGCATGATCGTGGCTTTATCGAAGCCTGCTCATTGACATTCAACAAAAGCCATTAATCATTGGTACACATAAAATGAACACAATGCAAAGTAACCTCGCTGTTCAGCCCAATTCAGTCTCATGCTGCATCAGGTCAAGTGCGCCACCAGATCCAAAATCATCGCAAGCAAGGTGACCTTTTGCCCAAAAAATGAAAAGGTATTCAGTGATGTATCACAGGAAACAGGTATGTTCATTAGCATTTTTTTCCCTGGTTTTGTTGTAGAAATGTGGTGCTATATAATGGCTGCTCTCCATTTTGGTTGTGTGCAAGAACATATGTGATATATGAACATTCTATGATGTATGAATAACTATTTTCTGAAGTTGGCTCAGGAGCCATTTATGCAAGAAGTCACAGACGAAGTGTGGCTCTCTCAAAAAGGCCATGTTCTTCCTCTTCCTTTTAAATGATCAAATGGTCTAACTGGACAATGTTAAAACAATATGCACCTTAACTTGCAAAGGCATTTATAAGGAAGAAGGGGAAGGAGTGGCTGGCTGGAGCTGCTCTCAAAGAGAAAGCAGCACAGAATGCAGCACTGATCATGTTTTTTATCCCCAACAGTGTGGAGAAACTTCCCTAATGCAACATTCACATCAGTACCACCAACATTTCTTTGATATATTTCTGTGCGTATAGTAAACAATTTGTTCACTGTATTTACTCTTAATACTTATAATGGCACAGCTAGCAATACAGTTAATAAGAAGAGTTACTTAATAGAACTGTGCTGGCTGTTCTGATACCGCAGAATGCGAAGATACAGCCTACTTTTTTCTCACACCTTTTTTCCCCCAATCATACAGGGGGCTCCAAAATTACTGAAACCCCTGACTGGCAATACACAAACAATACTTACAACAGTTCTTAAAAATATATTTATTGAGAAACTTTAAATAACAACACGTGAGGAATGCTGTATGATGTTAAACTCCTCTGCTCAGGTCTGGCCATCGGAGGGATTTTGGTACTGCTCTCACCTTGCCTTAAAGCGCATTTCATCCCCAAACCCGTACCCATTTAGGGCTCCTAATTAGCGACGAAGTGTTCATGTGCTCAGTTGCAAGGATCAATCCATATCCATTTCCCCTCAATTTGCTTTATTGTTCATTGCGAAAATTATCAAGCATTTTCCTATCCGCATTAATGGTAACCTAAAACATCTCACAAAACGGCATATTTTTTCTGCGTACCCGTCTGATCGGTTTGATAAGCCCAAGAAAAATTTTTTTAAAATATGGTTTTGCCGACTCAGGTCCGCGTGTGAAGTTTGCATATGTAAAATAAAACTCTGTCTGCAACCAGTGACATGCAAGTTAACACTCAACCCGTTTCCGAGTAAGAATCGTATAATTAATTGAATTAATTTGCTGAGCAAATAGGCTTCTAATAAGCTGCGTTGCCATGAATGATTAAGACATGCGGCTTTGCATCGAAGAGGTAAGTTACAATACGAGATTGGATTGATGGCAATTACCTGAAATTTCTCGAAATTCCATCTTGAAGTAGAATGTGATGAAGTAAATGCTGCTGAAGATGGTATTCAGACAAAATTTTGATTTTTTTTCTAATAAATTAATTAGATAAATGCCGTTCATGCGATTTCATATTATTGCCCTCCTACAACTTTCCCAGAAGCTAGACTATGAAGACCTCAAAATTCGACCCATGGCGTGCATTTTAGATGATTTTAAATGCATGCCATCTGTCAAACTTTTGCAGTGCACTAATAACCAATTTACTAAATGATTCAAGTACCAACGTTTCGACGCAAGAAGAGTTGGCAACTTAATAAATT